TTTTGTTTAGATTCTCTTTTTGTGTTTAGATGGTCCCGAGTGAATGAAAACTTGTTTGCTACTACTGGCTATCCAGGAAAAATGATCAGTCAACTTCTGGTTCATCATTTAGGTCATCCTCAGGTAAATTTATGAAAAATCAAAGATGTAAAATCCATTTTTAAAAAAATTGCTGTACAATTTTGTCTTAAGCAACTTATTATGAACATATGACAAATCAAGTGTAATCCAATGTGGGAAAATTTATTTTATTTACTTCTCACTTGGATTTCATATGCTTTGAATCTACTTTATCAGAACATCTCAAGGAAAACTGCATTTGTACGGTCAAAATGAAAAAAAAATATAGGCTGTAATTCAGAAAGTTACTTTAGACATGTTCTCTTTAAAGTCTTAGGCATGCTTGTTAAGGTTTTTTCTTCTTTACTGCTTTTAAACATTAGATTCTCATGGTGCAGTGCACAGTGTTCTTGGTAATAGCTTCAGTTTTAAAAAACAATATTAAATGCCATGGAAATTGGCAACTTAAGAAGTAAAATCCCTTTTAGATTCTGGTTGTAGGGGATTTGCTGAGGATATTTGGAGCATTTGAAAATATATTCTAGGTTCACCTGGCTTTAATAGCTTTAATAGGCAAGCTGTTCAATCTAAGACATATAGTATTACTAATAAACTTTGTGTCATTGTGATTGTGTCTTACTAAAATAGTACTAAAATAGTAAAATTTGGCCTCTTTGGCTTACCATATGAGTTGAAGTGATTATGAAACAGATTTGGAAAGTAAACTGAGTCTACTGGAAAAGACTTGAGAATAAATTATTCTCTTAATCCCCTGCACTCAAAAGGAATTTGAGGATTAAGAGAATTAAAATCATGTCTGTGTATTTTGCATCTTGTATTGCATCGTATACATGGTATGCATTGTACATATTTAGTTCTGATGTCCAATGGATTAGATTTCCAGAAAGCAATAATGGAAACCAGTTAAAAGAATCATTTAAGGTAAAACCTTATAAGAGAGTTTTAATTTCACAAAATTCTTTATCTGGTAGAATGAATATTAGAAGCTACAAAAATAGCATAGTGCTTATACTTCGCTTTAATGTAAATCATACAATGGAAGAATTTCTATAGATCTCAAGAGTAGCTACACGCTGATTTAGCAAGACATTTTTGTCTGCCTCCTGATTTTCCAAGTTCTAAGGCTAAAAGAGTATATAACAAGTGTATTTCTTAGATATCCATGATGTAATTATGACTGATTTTGCTGATTTTCATCTTTACAGAGAAAATGAGAAGTGTTTAGTCACCAAGAGTGGCCAGAGCAAAATGTTTACAAGCATCATCTGTTAGTTCTTAATATTTAACTATCAGAGGAAACTATATTTGGAATGTGATATAAAGGGGATAGGCTATGCCAAATCTAGGTATTATAGTGGAAGAACAATAAAAAACCTAAATGAAAGTGCTGGCTTCTAAATGCAGTGGTAGATCTCTAAAAGATTGGGAAGACTGTCTCAATTTATTTTGGTCTTGACCCTCATGCACTAACAGTAGATTTTTTTTACTTGTATAGCTTATTCTTTGCTAAAGCATTATTTTTTGGCTTTTAGTTTCAAATTTAGAAGCCAAGCTATCTTGAAATTTAGAAATTCTGAACCTTTATCCAATTTCAGTGATGATTGCTAGGTCACAAACAGTCAAACAGCTAAAGAGTATTTTGAAATTTCTTTTGAAGTTGTCTTACTGTATGCTAGATCTTAAATAGAAAGAATAACTAAACTAATTATTTTTTTTTTCTTTACAGCCTATCCTTATTGGTTCTGCACCCTTAGGATCTGGTTTAACCTGGCACAGGACCCTTCCACTATGTGCCATGGGAGGAGATCATAAAGTATATTTTTGGGTGACCGAAATGTAAAAAATTATATCTACTGGTTTAAAGTATCAGATAATGATTAAGGGAGGGAAGAGTTGAAGTAATATAGTTGGCTTATTTTATACTTTTTTTTACAGAAACATTGCTTTTGAATGAAATTCTGCAGATTTTAGACTTTCTAGTTTTAGAAGTGCAGCTGGATTTAACAGGGCATTGTACTCAACGTTTTATGTGCAAATCTTGTTGAAATAATCTGTTGCACAAATTTTCATTTGTTTAAAAGGAAGTGCAGTCAGGAGAAACAGTTAAAATAGATTGCTATATAAACTTTGATATAACTACCAGCAAAGTAAGAATGGCTAAAAATGTTGGTTCAGATGCCATCTCAACCTGGAATGTTCATTGACAAAGCATAGCAACATCTTCTAAAAGTGAATATTTCCTAATAAAAATTGATTCCTTATATGAACTTATATATCTGTGATACCAAGAAGTGCTATGCTAACTGTAGATAGCAAGGCATGATGTGGTTGCAATAAATAACCTCATTTATTGGCTGCTATCTTTTACAACTGAATATCGGTATATTGAGAAAAAAGACAAATCTAAAACAGGAACAAACATATAGTCAATTTCTACAGTGAAATTAAATTGTATACGTAACAGTTAGAACCTTTTTTTTTAATCATGATAAACTAGAACTCAGTTTTTCCAGGTTGTTGGATAATGCACAAAATCCATTCTTCAGTTGCTTGAAAGTTAAAAATGTCCATAAGCTTTCATTCTTCTGATTTGGACCTGCACAAGACAATGCTTTTGAAGATTGAGCTGTAATGAAGACCATACTTTTTATAACTGCAAAATTCAAACATTATTTATTTCATATGAAAGTTTATGATATTTGATGGGAGGGGTTCTTGTAAATTGAGATGATACAAATCAGACACAAAGAAATGTTTTTAATGAAGCATGTTTTAAATAAATTTGCTTTTCTGAAACAGTGTCAATATTTTATTTCACATTAAAATTATGACTTTATTAGCTGTCTGATGTTACACAAATATAAAAAGGCTGCAAGAAGTGAAATAATCACCAAGAAAAAAGGTAATGTCCCCCATCTGACAACCCCAGAGCCCCAAGTGACAGCTATTCAAGAGATGACACTTGTGGCTGCGTTACTTAGAGTGGTTTATCCACACTGAAACATGAATGTGCAACACAGTATTCTCCATGGGTGACACCCACTCACACTCATGGCCATTGGGACCACATGCCACCGTCCATGTACTAACAAGAGAGGGCTATCCTGGGATTATTTTATCACAGGCTGTTACCACAGTTCTCCAGAATGGCACCCGGAACATTTCCATGGGCCCCAAAAGAAGGGGAGACAATTTTACCCACTATGCACATCAATGTGAAGTGTCCAATGCTTGTCACAGAACCAAAACTTCAGCTGCTCTGTTTCAATTCATCCCATTTCTCACATAGTTTGCTGTGGAATTTTAGGGGTGCTTTTGAACCAGAAACCAGAACATTTTATTGATTAAGGCACAAATTGGCTTATTGACAGCGCTGGAGGCAGAGACAGGCCTAAAGAAGGGTGGGTTGAAGTCTGTTTTATAGACTTGTGCATATTAAAATATAGATAGAACAGCCACTGGATATAACACATCATGTGCCGAATGAAATCAGTGTCAGCTATACTATGTAGTCCAGAATCAGAAAATTAACCACAGAAAAACCAGAATTACACTTTTGGGATACAGAACCTTGCAAGTCTGAATGTGTTGGTCCTCCCCTGCTTCCTATATCCTATTGAATTAGGGAGATATTTGCCTGAGTGGCTTCTGAATATTGTTTTCCACGATTAAAGGAATGTTTCAGTCCCCTTTTGTCTAGGAAATGGTTCCTGTATAATTCTGCCAAAGTCACCTTCCTTTCTCGGCTATGAGGCCACTAGGGCATAACTATGAACTGATGAAGCATCCAAGCATCCACAAAGACAATGGGATTTTGAAACAACAAAGAGGTTCTATGAACAAAGTTTCTCTGTTCTTTGTTCAGAACTCTACTTGCCCACCAATATCTTCCCTAGTATCTAAAGCATTCCTTGACCTACATCTTTAATCGCTGAGTTGAGTTTAGCTTTCTTTGGAAGATATATTTGGCTTAGGTGCTTTTTATTTGATCCCAAGAATCCTCCTTCAGAAACAAGGTGCCATCAATCTGGAGCAATACTAAATCTTCAAATTCAAGAGTTTGATAGATGTGCCCTCCACAAATATACCGAATCCCATTTAAAATCCATTGTAGCAGCCATCAAGACATCTTATTTTTAATCAGTTGGCAATCTACTGTATATAAAAACAAACCTTAATTCATAGCTGCTAAATTTATTCAAAAGCCTCTGATGAGAAATTTTGTCAATGACTTTTTGAAAAGCATACACAGTGCGCAAAAGGTAATTTGTTTCCTCTGTGTGCAAAGGATGTTTTCTTTGATGACAATTTCTGTCAATTAGCCATTTATTTATGCCTGCATGCATTTCCATGAAACTATGGATGTTAACTTCCTCATTGAGATAAAAGTTTGGGCCTGTCACAATACAGCCAGGTTGACTGAGCAACCTTCGGTGTTATCTGAGCCAGTCTTCCACCAAACACACCCACACGCAGACACCATTCCTAATTGTAGACCATTTCAAATTATTTGTCCCATTCTCAAGATGGATTGATCGATCGATTGATTTAATTGATATGCTGCCAATCTGCCCACTAAGCCACTTCAGGGTGGCTTGCCCAAAATTCACTTTCGCTTTGCACCCTATAAAGAATGGTATCGAAATTACAATAACTTTATATCGTCCTACCCAAGTGTCTTAACGATTTTCAGTTTACACTGGCGTTTTTTCCAGTCCGTCCGTCTTTACTGACTGGGTTTGAGCGGAGAGCTGCTGTCAGTAGCTTCATAATTAGAACTGCAGCTCAAGCCTCCTTTTGCAGAAGGTGCAAAAGATGCATCGGGAAGCCGCGGCGTCTAAAGAACCCAAGCCTTCAAGCATCCGAACTACAGTTCCCATGATGCCCTTCCTTCTGCTTTGATTGCCGCGAAGGAGACGTCGGAATAGCTTCCCGTGAGAGAGGTCGCGAGGGATGATTAGGGAAGAGGTTTGCGGCCGTGGCCTCGACGCTGTGAGAGGTCGGCGGGAATGGACGAGGACGGGTTGCCTCTCGTAGGTTCGGGCATCGACCTGACCAAGGTATTGGCGGGCGGCCTGGTCTTGCGCATGCGTGGAGCGACTCCTGCATGTACCCAAAGGCCGCTTCTACAGCCCAGCTGGCGTTCGGGTGGGGAAGAGGAAGGAACCGGGCAAGGGTCCCTTCTGGGTGCCCGCTGCCTTCCCCATCCCGTTAAAAGGCCCCCCTCCCTGCAGTAATAATTCACAGCAGACCCACAAATATGGGAGGGGGGAAATAGGAAACCCCATTTCTGACAGGGAAAGCAGAAGCAAAAAGTTTTATGAGGTGGCAAAATCTGTAACAGCCTCGAATGGGGGCTGAAGGTTGAAGAGACGACGGACGGAAAGAGTTGTGGTCGTTATTCTTCACAGTAGTTTAGCTGTTGAAATGCGTTTGAATATTAGTACCTCGAGTTGGTAGTTAATAGGCTGTTTGGCTTGAGCTCCGAGGTTGGCAATTTGGTTGTAAACGTTTCCTCACCATTCGAGGAGACATCCTCAGGGCCTTTTGAATTGTTTAGCTGTAATCATATATCCAGGTAAGGTAAAGGTAAAGGTTCCCCTCGCACATATGTACTACTTGTTCCCGACTCTAGGGGGCGGTGCTCATCTCCGTCTCAAAGCTGAAGAGTCAGTGCTTTCCGTGATCATGGTAACGGAACGCTGTTACCTTCCTACCAAAGGTGGCCCCTATTTGTCTACTTGCATTTTTTACGTGCTTTCGAACTGCTAGGTTGGCAGAAGCTGGGACAAGTAACAGGAGCTCACCCCGTTACGCGGCACTAGGGATTCAAACCGCTGAACTGCCAACCTTTCGATCTACAAATTGAATTGAATTGAATTGAATTGAATTGAATTGAATTGAATTGAATTTTTTATTGGCCAAGTGTGATTGGGCACACAAGGAATTTGTCTTGGTGCATATGCTCTCAGTGTACATAAAAGAAAAGATATGTTCATCAAGAATCATAAGGTTCAACACTTTTTTTTTTTTTTTGCTTTAATTTATATGCCGCCCTTCTCTGGAGACTCAGGGCGGCTTACAACGCGTTAAGCAATAGCCTTCATACTTTTGTATATTTATACAAAGTCAGCTTATTGCCCCCACAAACTGGGTCCTCATTTCACCTACCTTTGAAAGGATGGAAGGCTGAGTCAACCTTGAGCCTGGTGAGATTAGAACTTGCAGTAATTGCAAGCAGCAGATGTTAATAACAGTGCTTTAGTCCACTGTACTATAGGCTCTTAATGATAGTCATAGGGTACAAATCAGCAATCAGTCTTAGCCACTGAGCCACCACGTTCCTGGAATATATCCAGGTACAGGAGAGGAAACCTTCCTGAATCATCTCTGAGCAGATATATACATGAAAATGCATTGGTTTTTTTGTTCATGGGGCTTCTAATGCCAGTCCAGTAGTTTTTGATTCTGCACAGGTAGTCCTCGACTTACGACCACAATGGTGCCCAATGTTTATGTTGCTAAGTGAGACAGTTGTTAAGCGAGTTTTGCTTCATTTTTTTATGACTTTGCCTGCCACGGTTGTTAAGTGAATCACTGCAGGTGTTAAGTTAGTAATACTGTTGTTAAGTGAATCTGGCTTCCCCATTGACTTTGCTCGTCAGATGGTCGCAAAAGGGGATTACATGACCCAAGGACACTAACCGTCCTAAATATGAGGCAGTTGCTAAGTGTCTGAATTTATATCACATGACCAGAGGGATGCCGAAATGGTGGTAAGTGTGAAAAATGGTCCTAAGTCATTTTTTAGTGCCGTTGTAAGGCCACTAAAAGAACTGTTGTAAGTCAAGGACTACCTGCATATATACCTGGCATCTGTAAATCAGATTGAAACAATTTACTTTATCTTATTTATTAAGTTTATATGCTGTCCATCTCACAGTTAAGGTGACTCTACGTACATTGTTTATAACTTTTTTAAAAACAAATTATAAAATACTATAGCATTTATAGGATTATACTGTGTTACTACACTAAGTACATCTCCTACCAGGAGAGAGAATAACATTACAATCTTCCAGCACCCACAGCTCCTGAAATGGGTTTCCATAGCATTCAGAGCCCTACATTCAAATAAAGTTGGGAATAGAAAGAAATATCCTCTGTACATGTTCACAGTAGCTCATGCCTTGGTCACCTCCCAATGTGCTCTCTATGGGACTGCCCTTGAAGACCACCCAGAAATTGCAGCTAGTCCAGAATGTAGCAGTGTGCAAAGTAACCCAGGAGCTAGGTTTGCCTATGTAAGACCTCTGTTGCACAAGTTGTACTGGCTTTCAGCTTCTTTCCAAGTGCAATTTAAAGAGCTGGTCATCACTTTTAAAGCCCTATATGGCTAGGTTATCTGCGTAAAGGCTTTTCCCTAAGGATATGCCCATCCTGCCAGATCAGATAGATGGGCACAGTCCTAATCCCTTCCCTTAAATGTTGCCTTCTCATGGTACCTCAAAGTGTACCTCTTCTATGGCAGCTCCTGCCCGTAGGGTACTTTCTTCCCCCCAAGTTCAGTTGGCCTCCACTCTCCTAGTCTTCCATAAAGCTTTGAATACCTGGCTTTTTCCCCAAACACTGGGATGAGTTGTTTGGTTCATCCAAGAAGTTTGGCTTGACTCCACGTTTTTTTTTTTTAATGCATTTCATCTTTATAGTTTTAAGATGGCTTTTATGATGTTGCAACTTTTAATTGGGAGCCTTGATTATAAGATGGGTGGCTATATAGTTTCAAATAAATAAATTGTATAAGACAACTTTCCCAGATTGGTGCTTTTCAGATGTGCTGGATACTAGCTCATATTGTCCAGCTATTCTAATCAAGCAAACAGCAGGATAAGGAAGGTTAATATAATGGGTAAATTTAAAAGAGTTTGAAACTCTTTTAAGATGTTTTAAATTTAAATTAAATTAAACAAAGCCCACAAAATTTTCCCTGAATAGACAAATCTCAAAAATTTCCAAAAGTTTCATATTGAAAAGATCCTAGTGTTTGATTCTATGAAAGAAAAGAAAAATCCAACATATATGGCAAGGGGGGAAATCGTTGATAAGGCATCCAGTTTGATTAAGCATTATGTAATAAATATCTCTTGTTGGTATAGCTGACTGATCTTTAAAACTGAGTTACTCAATAAATAAAAATAAATGAAATAAATGGTTTATTACTTCCTTATTTTTCATTAAAATGGTTGTTGCCAATTTCTGTAGATAAGCTATGACATGGGAAATTTTGTGTTAATGTGTTTTTCTGCTTATATATTAATCATTTCTCTTGCAAAGGATATATTAGGCATGGTAGATTAAGAGTCAATGGCTGCTGTGGATTTTCAGTTTGACCATGAACAAATTCCTTATGTTGTTTCTCATTAATTACAAAAGCACTAAGAAATGTAGGATACGATTTTTAGCCTAGTTCATTCTCTGACAGCAGTCTATAAAAACAGTGTTGGGAAACTCTAATATACTTCCAAAATGTTTTCTGTGCCAATTTCAGGATCTGAGATTTACAACTCTTAATTTATTCAATGTCACTAATAAATAGTTTGGCTTAAATTCAGAAGTTATTCATTTTTATATTTTTAAACTCTTGACTGTCTCATCCTTATGCTCTTTCATGTTTTAATGTACAGTTCTGGTAAAAGAGAATATGCTTATTCAATTGCTGAAAAATTGACAAACGGCAAATTTGATAAAAGATAAGTTATACTTTTATGTATCTTGGCACATTGCTTTCAAATAATAAATTATCACTCAAATATTTGGCCAATCTCAGAGTTTGAATGTAAATGTTTGATACTGTATTTCTTTCATATTAAAGAGATATTAAAAGCGCTAGTTTGGTGTAGTGGTTAAGGCATCAGGCTAGAAACTGGGAGATCATGAGTTCTAGTCACATTTTAGGCGCAAAAGCAGCTGGGTGACTTTGGGCTAGTCACTTCTCTCAGCCCTAGGAAGGAAGCATTGGCAAACCACTTATGAAAAATCTTGCCAAGGAAATTGTAGTGACTTGACCATATAGTTAATTGATTTCTCTTCAGTGTTGTATTTTTTTCTATGTTTTATGTAATGCAGGTTCCAGCTATCCAACAAAAGAGAACAGTGGCGTTTCTAAACCAATTTGTGGTTCACACAGTTCAGTTCCTGAATCGATTTTCAACTATTTGTGAAGAGGTAGTACATACCATACTGTAACTTTCCAAAGCCAGCGTATACTACATTTCTCTATAATGCATGCTTGCTACAGAACAGAAATAATTTCAATTCTCATTCTTTACCATGAAAAGGTTAAAAAAATGAAGAAAAAGTATAATCTGCCAGTGGAAAACATTAAAATGTCTCTGTATTCAAAGTTAGCTTGTTAGGCTTTGGCATGCAATGCTTTGGGGAATATTTCTGGAAACTTGGTTTTCATCCTTTATTGCTTTAAACAAGAGGTAGTTATCAGTTTTCATCACCATGTCACCATATTAATCTTTCTGGAGAAGCAATACATTTTTATTTGTGGATATGAAACATTAATGGAAAAGTCAGAGTAGAGTTAAAGTAAGTTTATGAGGGACTTTTTGTTAGAATTTTGCCATTCTTTTAATGTATTAGTATTACTTTGCCATATTCAGTGTATCTTGAGGTTTTTGTGTCTCTATAAACTCCAAATTGTCCAGGAATATTGTTTTGCTTACCTGTACTTGTTATTAATTAAAAAGAATACTAAACCAATAGGATTTTGCCTAGAAGCCTACTGGGATTGTTTATTAAAACCTATTAGATAAATCAGTTGAATCTTGACTAATAGTTTAAAAGCATTTCGCAACTAGTCTAACAACAAGCTCTGGAACTCTGAGACAGTTAACTATCTTTGTTAACTATTTATGTTTTGGCACCAGACTGAAGAAAAAAATGGTGACTTTTATAGATAATGAATACTAAATTATATAATATGCTTAATAAATTGAATAGATTAATTTGCTAATTTATATGCATTTGAGTTCATGATCCCCTCTCTTGCCTATGTAATACATTTTAGTGTTACCAGAAATTAAGGCTATTCTAAATGTCCTGTGGTGCAATCTGAACATTCAGGAATGCATAGATTAATAAGAACTCTCTGCAAGTATTGACTGCTTTGAATTATAGTTGCTGAGTTAGTATCTTTTAGCTAAAATTATTTGTTAGCAAAGCTTGATAAAGAAGGATAAATATAATCATATGTCAATATGTAATGTGTGTCATGTTATTTGTTAATGGAATGAATATTAGCATAGTAGTATATTAAATCAGTTGAACATCACAGTGTAATCAGTTATTTTAAACCATCTGTATAATAGCACTTAAAGGATCATTGTCCAATATGTTTCATATTAGTCTCCAAAAGACCGAAGGAATAAGTTTGCTTTTCAGGGAGATGGATTTGGGTGATGGGAAAGAGCTAAGTATTACTGGATGGAAAATGTGGAGGAGTTAAACGATACTGAGGAAATTGTTGAGTAATATTTCTCTTCCTTTTTCCCAGAAATTGTCAGCACTTTCCCTCCGTATTCAGCAAATTGAAACTTTGCTCAATATTCTGGATGCAAAGGTTTGTCCCTGATTTGCCTCTTTTTATGTGGTAGTTTAAACATTCTTAAATATATAATTTGTAGGGTTCTGAGGGTAGATTTCATTTAGATCATGTTTGTCTACCAACAAAAATGAGCACATATATTTTTAGTATTAAAGAAAGTAAAGGAGATCAGAAAGGAAATAGATACATTCAGTAGTGCAAAGTGGAGGTAAAGATTTGGACATATGTAAAGTCTGACAGTCCTAGCATCATGTAACTATACATTCTGAAACTTTGATAGAAGAGAAATGTTTATCAGATGTTGTATTATGGATGAAAAATTTGTATGATCAATATTAAAATATCATTAATCTGTGATGTGCTCCATCTTCAGTTATCTTCTGTGCCTGGCCTAGAAGATGAGATCTCAAACACCAGTGTTATGAATGGCTCTGTCTCACAAATATTGGTAGATCCACAGACAACAAATGTATCGCCTAACGTGGAGGTAAACTAGTCTTTCTAAAGCACAATGTGACTGTATTCAAAAGACAAGAAAATCAAAATTATTTGAAAATAATCAAATGGTTGGTGCAAGCTGTTTATTTGCTCTCATTGATTCTGGGAACTAGCCAAATAATACACAAATAGCTATCCCTTGATTTGCTACCCTGTTTCTCCGAAAATAAAACCCTGTCTTATATTTTTTTGCCACCAAAAAAGGCACCAGGTCTTATTTTCAGAGGGGATGTAGTCCACTGACTCATCTCACTTGTGTGCGTCACCCCCAGCCTCCTTTTCGCTGTCAGAGGCATTTAGGAACTTCTTTTGTGGCTTGCAAGGCCAGCAAGGCTTTCCTGAAGGCCTCTGCAGCTGATAATAGAGTTCTGTATTGATCCTGAGCTCTGTTATCAGCTGCAGAGGCCTTCAGGAAAGCCTTGCCAGCTGCAGAAGAATTGGGCCAGCAAGGCAGGTGTCTGGCGAGGCCTGGCTGCAACTGTCCGAAGATGATGAGTAGGGCAGCTCCCCCATCCCCACCCTAGCTAATTTTTACCCATGCACCCTGGAGTGGGCGGGGTCTTAATTAGGGCTTTTTTGGGGGGTAGGGCTTATATTGGGCATGTGTAAAAAGCAAGCTAGGACTTACTTTTGGGGTAGGTCGTATTTTCAGGGAAACACAAACACTTTTGTGTGAACTGAAAATTTAGACTTCCTTCTCTTTAGATTCAAAAGATTCAAAAGATTCATCTCATTGGACTCCAGTTTGATTTCTGGTGACTTAATAGACCCTTGCCTAATTAGTCCAATGGGGAAGTAGTTTGCCATTGCCTTCTTCTGGGATGCATCTTCAATTCCCAGTGTCCCCAACTGCCTTGGGTTGCACCAAAATCCCAAGTTGGTCCAACCCTGCATAGCTTTTTGCAGTCAACTAAGCTTGACTAAACATTGTCCAATTCATTGCCCAATTCATAGGCATTGCTATTCGGGTTTGTCTAACTGCTGCCCTGGCAGGAGGAGCCAAGCAGGACCAATCAAACTTCATATATAAATTGCTGGTAGAACTATATTTTTAAAAAATTTAATGTGATATCCAAATATAGTAAATATAGTCTGAGGACATGTGAAGACTGGTGTGCATTGTTTGTTGTATTGCAGACCAGTGTACCTGAGTTGGGGCAACAGAAGACAGATGGAACTGGTGAAAATGTCATCACTGTAGCAAAGGATCCACGCTATGCTAGATACCTCAAAATGGTTCATGTGGTAAGTCACATTTATTTTACCAGGCTTTATCATAAACATTTGGACTTTTATTACTTGAAGCTTCCTTTAAAGTAAACTTTGTCTTTTGAGGTTAATTGTGAATGTAGGTTGAATTTTACATGCTTTTAGCATAGAAATTAGTATAGCAATTGATTGAGACATAAATATTGAGAGACAATTTTCCTCTGTCTTGCTGTACCCAAAGTACAACAACCGTCATTACTAAAAATGCTGATTTTTTATTATGCGCCAGATATATATATATATATGCAAAAAATTAAAATCTCGGGTGTTTTCCCGCGTCATTATAAATAAGTTGGTTAAAATATTTAAAATCCTAGTTAAAATCCCATCTTAAAATCTTCTAAAATTCCCTACAGAGCACTTGCAAGGTCCTTTAAAACCTCAGCTAAAATCCTACCAGTGACTTTAAAAGTTTTTCTTAAAGCAACGTTTCGACAGGCTCACACCCTGTCATCTTCAGGCTCTGTTTCATGTAGAAGCTATGGGTTCTCTGTTGAGAAGACATATATATATATATGTGTGTGTGTGTGTGTGTGTGTGTGTGTGTATATGTATGTATATATATATGTAGGTCTTTGGTTATGGACTTGGCTGTGTTCTGATTGGGTGGAGGTGTGTTCTGATTGGTTAGGGGCTTGGCTGTGCTCTTGATATCAAGGAGTATATGAAATCCCATGCACCGCCTGCCCCACCACATACATCGGACAAACCAACAGACGAATAAGTGCACGCATAGAAGAACACAAGAACTCAGTCAGAAAAGAGGAACCAACTTCTTCCCTGGTCCAACACCTTAAAGCCACAGGACATGATATTGACTTTAAAAAGACCAGAACTATCGCCAAAACTGAACACTTTAACAACAGAATAATCAGAGAAGCCATCGAGATAGAAAAACGCCCACACAGCATGAACAAACGAGACGATACCTCCAGCCTACCAGCCATTTGGAAACCCGCCCTTATTGACAAACGAGTCCCTAACACGACGAATGACACCAGACCCACACTCACGAGAGCCACACAGGATGTCACCACCACACATCCACGCAGAAAGCAGACTCAAACCCACACTGATAATGAGCCATGACCAAGGACCAGAAGCCAGACCGCAGCTGCATCATTAGCCACTTTAAACCCCTCCAATCCATACATGAAGCAGACTGACACCCACCATGAAGAGCTCGCACGGCCACAAACACGAAGCCAAACAACAACAACGCAGCTCACCAGCTCAAATCCCCCTGCAACTCAGACTAAGCTGAGCACAACCAAGCCCCCACCCAAACAGAACACACCCCCAGCCAATCAGAGCACAACCAACCCCCCATCCAATCAGAGCACAGCCAAGCCCCTAACCAATCAGAACACACCTCCACCCAATCAGAACACAGCCAAGTCCCCACCCAATCAGCTCACACCCCCACTAGCAGTTAAAAGGAAGAGACAGCTGCGATCTCACATTGCTCCTGGAAGCACGAAGCCGAGAACACCAGCCTGAAGATGACGAATGAGACTTCGTCGAAACATCGCCAAGACACTTCCAATTTTACGTGGGAGAAGACCCGAATAACCAAAGACCTATATACAAACACCCGCGAAAACCTGAGAAAACACATACATATATCTATCTATCTATCTATCTATCTATCTATCTATCTATCTATCTATCTATCTATCTATCTATCTCCAATGGTTTCTGCAATTGTTTTAGTCCAACAGTGTTTATTTGTGATAGCCAACTTAAAAATCAGTTTTTAATTTAAAATTAAGCTTTAATTTTCTTCCTGATCGGTGCTGGTCACGGTTGTCCCAGAAAACCAGTTGCATTTCATTTATTCTATCACATAGAATTTGTTTTTGGCTCTATTACTTGCTCACAAATGAGCTCCTGGTAAAACAGACAAGCTTTGACAGAGCCAACAGTTTTCTTTTTAATGCCTTTTGATGCTGAAACGTGCAAAATATGAGCAAGAGTTCAACTTGAATAAACTAAAGTTTAAAATGAAAATAATCTGTAAGCCTGGCAAAGTGAAACTAAATTGAACAAATAGTCACATTTTTTTCTGATTCTGTATATGTAATATTGTACATCATAGATTTGATGCAAAGGGGTAAGAAGTTACATTGATAATTCCACTTCAACTGTTGTTATTCATTTGCCCTGTTTAGCTTCTGATCCTAGTATGATCTCATCACAAAGCAGGTTAGAAACTTGTGGTTTTGTCGGCATTCTCCCAAGTAGGATATGATGACAAAGCAATTTTGATGCACATGGTATTTGCTTTGTCACTCTTTACAGTTTTGCTGGAAGCACACAGCTACCCTTTACAGCCATAATGCAGTCGGGGGGGGGGGGTTATGACATTTGATTTAACAAGTTGTAGACTTGTGAAGACTCTGAAACATCTTTTGCTTTTGAAGCACTGCATAATCTTGAAATGCAAGATAGTGTTACAGCTCTTTCAGTAGTGGTAAAAATCACAGGAAAATGTAAGCTTTTGTGATTCTCCTTTTCCTGGATATGCATGATGATATAAAAGAGGCCAGAGTTGTTCACTGGAGCGTGAATAAGGGGAAATGATCTTGAGGGAAATACTATAGACAAGAACTAATACATAAGCAAGGAGGACTGAAACATCCCTTAAGTCTTAAGGGATACAAGTCTTAAGGGATACATTGTTTTCTGGTCTGGACTACTAGTGGGACTGACAAGTGAGATGGTAGCTGAAAGGAGATTGCTCGTTTGATGCTTTTAAATGCATCAGATTTATGTGAGATGTCCATTCAAGGAGAGGCACATTTGCACATCTTGTTTCAACAATTGGAAGTTGAGTAGGAGAGCCTACTGTTTTTTGTACTCAGTCCTTATACAGGAATAGATGTCCAATATTGCTGATAGTATTGTCTATCATTCAGCTAGGGTTTATATTCTTAAATATGTGCCCTCTAGGGTAGAACAAAAGTTTTAAGAATTTGCATACCTGGAATAGCAACACAGTTTTTTAACGATTTATGCAAATCTGATGTATAATGAAATGTCTGTGCCTGGGAAGCAGAATAAAAAATGCTGAATTCTTGTCTGCATGGTGGCCTATTTCAAATATAACAAATATTGACCTATTTTAAGTATAACGAATAAGGAAAGTGTATACCTAACACTAAGAATTTAGCACATATAATGTAGACTGAGGAGCTTTGTTATGACAAGTAGGACAAATTCTTCGAATCATTACTACTGCTTGAATATCTGTTCATTGGATATATGTTGAGAAGCTGTATTTATGTGGGGTGCATATTTTGACAATGATTTGGAAGAAATGCTCTGGACTTCATACAATCTTAGTATTAATTTGCTAAAGAAATTCTAAAGCTTTTTCAGGCTTCTAAATGAGTAGTTGGGAAAAAATGCTGCTACTTTTGGGACTTCAGTATGAAGCAGAGAGATACTGTCCTCATATACGGTCCCAAATGCTCCTGAGTCTTTTTCAAAGCATGTAGAGTTCTAATAGTTTGACTTACTAAGGAGGTGAATATGTTCTAATCTGATAACCAAGGAATCGGTTTTACTACAGTTCCAGTAAAAAGTTTGAAGCAATGTTGGTAATGGCAGATATCCATATGGAGCTGTTATTAAGATGGGTGTGATAAGTTCAAATGTTTGGTGTAAACTTCAAAGTAAAAGCAGAAGAGCTCTCTGTGGCAGTAACCAAGCCAACACAGAGCCTTAGGAAAGACAACTTTCCAATTTTAAGTTGATACAGAATACAATGGTTCTCTGTGTAAAGGTGGGTCTGGAAATAAATGACCTTTCATTTGGAATAGTGTCACCATCTGTTTCATAAAATTTAAGCTAACCTTTAATTTAGCCCAAGGATATAATTTCTCTTAGTTATGTGATACAATTCCCTTTTTAGTTAATTATCAATCATGTTAGCATTATATTTCTGTTAGATAAAGTTATTGGCAAGTAAATAATTTGTGGCATTTCATCTTACCCATTCCATCCTTCATATTATCATTGACAGTTTCTGGGATTAAAACCTAGGTGAGAATATTTTGATTTTATTTTAATTTTGAAGCCTTACAATAGTTTAAAAACTCTGAATTAGGAACAGAATAGCAGATTAGAACAGTGTTTCTGAATCTTGGCAACTTTAAGATGCATGGATTTCAACTCTCAGAATTCCACAGACAGCATACATATCTTAAAATTGGTTGATGTCCTTGCTTTTCCATACTCAATTCATGATAATTAATGCTGTGCAACCCAGTGTGATGTGATGCTTTATTTCTGGGCTGCCTTTACTGCTTTGATCAGTCTGTAATCCTAAAAAAATGAATTTTTGCACATATTTGATCTCTTCATTGTCAATTATTTTGACATTTCCATTCCCTGCAATGGTCATTTGATGTTGGTCATTTTTACGTTCAGGAAGAAGTCAATTTTTTTGCTGCATTCTTTAATGTTTTGATCACATTCAGGATTTCTTTGGTTTCTGAGAGGAGTTTTGTGTCATCAGCATATTGAAGATGGTTGATGTTCCTTCCTTTAATCTTTATTTCAATTTTTGATACTTCAAGTTCTAGCTCAAATGAGAAAGTCGAAGGAATGCAGCCTTGCTATATCTTGAACCAGTTGGGATCTCCATATAGTGTTTGCACAGTAGCTTCCTCCAGTACAGCAACTGCAGCAAAATGACCCAATACCCTCAGGACTCTCAGCTTGTCATGATCGGCACAATCAAAGGCTTTCGTATAGTCAATAGAGCAAATTATATATATATATATTATATTCTTGAGACTTTGACATGATCCAGCATAGACTTGTAACATGGGCATGATTTCCACCCCTTCTGAAGGCAACTTGAGGACCTGTTAATTCCCTTTCAATGGTTGGCACCATTGAATTGTTGTATGATCTTAGAGATCATACTTTGTTGTGACATTGTTGTATGGTCTTAGAGAAAATCTTGCTAGCTTGCTAGGATGATGGCAGTTGTGCAGTATTTGGAGCAATCCTTGGAGTCACCCTTTTTTGGCAATGGAATGAACACGAATAGTTTCCAATTCTGTGGCCATGTGTTTGGTGATGAAAATATCTTGTATATATGCATAATTAAAACATGTTAAATTACTTGCTTTTATACATGTCTTATTTAACTATGCCAAGAAATCCTTGTAAGGCTTCCCCTCCTGCTTCAAAAAGTTATGTTGACCTTATTAATAAACCATTTTTTCCATGGTCATTTCCACGATGGTATAACTTGACATATTTGTTTAACAACATATATTTCACTGGAGAATTCTGAAATGACAAATTTCTTTAAAGTTCTTTCCTTTTACAATTTTGTGGGGAAATTTTCAGCTTTAGATTTGTGATTCCCTTCCCCAGTAAAAATTGTATACTGTTTACAAATGAAAAATGTTTACATAATATTATTAAGTAACATTTTCCATTTGTAAGACATAAGAAAGTAGTTCTGAATAACAGAACCCTGCCGCCACCACAATTTAGTCTTTGTATTTCAGGTTACATTTTCCATATGGCAGATGGTGACTCCTAGTCATAAAAAAAATTGTGTGCTAACAGTAATGACAGCTCTGGAAATTCCCACTCTTAAACTGCTGAGTGTAATTGTTTTTATTGGAGATAGCTAGTTTTATATTAGGGTAAAGAGCTCCAAACACAGATATGCAAGGGAAAATATTAATCACCACATCAGCATGGCTATTGCCATGTTAGCCTTGACCACTCTCTTGCTTTCCTCAATGACACCAATACAGAGATACTTCTCTGAACAGTAAATTTTTACTCCCTTCTTTGTAAAATGCTGCACTTACCTTGGGCCAAAAGTACTTGGGTTCCATGCCAAAACCAACCACACTACATTAATTACTGTTAATTTAGAAATCAAGGTATTTTACATCCTTTTCAGACTTCCAATAAACCTTGGAAATGAGGTTTTCTTTCTTTCTTTCTTTCTTTCTTTCTTTCTTTCTTTTTTTCCTTCCTTCCTTCCTTCCTTTCTTTCATTCTTTCAAAAGAATGTTCTATTTGAACTTTGTCAGCAGAAACATGGGAATAGCTTCTCTTGGAAAATCTCTAGCAAAGACCTTTGACTTCAGATTGTTCCCAGGAGTCTGAAGGAATATAAAAGAAGAATGTTTAGTGATGAATGACCCACAAATGTTGAGGGAATTTTAGTGAAAAAGCCTTTTTTCCTTCATATGCTATTGGCTAAAAGTATGCCATTGTGAACAGTCAATATGAAAATCTGGATATTGTGCTGCTAGAATTCAGATAGGCCTTTCTGTGTTGAGCATTGTTTTCTTAAGAAACTGTAGAGGAAAGCTAAATAAAAGTAACTTTTAAAAAAATGAGATAAAATATGCTGTAAGATTAGTAAAGATAATTGCTGAGAATAGTTTAACAATAAGCACTATCACTGATACAAGTTATATCTTTCTATTCAGCTGGTGGAGTTTACCTTGCAACATGAAAGGATATAGTACTGATAATGTGTAACCTTCATATAACTATAAATACCAGAATGGTCTTGAGCTGTGATGGCAAACCAATGGCACTCATGCCACAGGTGGCATGCAGCGCCCTCTCTGTGGGCACACAAGCCATCGCCCCAGTTCAACTCTGCCGTGCATGCACGTGTGCCTCCCACCGTCCAGCTGGTCATCGGGTCTCTGCCGCACATGCATGGGGGGTTGCAAGGCACATGCGCACATGCGTGGGGGCGGGACACGTGTGTGGGGCCCACGCACGCATTGCATTTGGGGGTTTGGCCACATGCGCATTCGCGCACACACACGCTTTTGGGCACTCGGTCCAGAAAAGGTTAGCCATCACTGGTCTAGAGTCACTAGACCATCAACTAAATTTATGACTTAATAAGAAATTAGAGGTTTTTTTCTGCCAACTGCTACTAGCTAACTGTATTGGAAAGGATAGTTCCACTATCTGTCTTCTAGTATAGATGATTTTAAGTAATTCTATTATGATATTATTTTATTATGTCATCTCTGAATCTTGCTACTGCTACCATTTTCTTACACAAACTGGTTCCAGTGGTAGCATGACTTCTATTGTACTGTCACATCAATTGGAAAATAAAGTTCTTGGTTTTTGTTTTTTTGTTTTTTAGTGGTGCTTTTGAATCATGTTTTATGGTGGAATAAGCAATATTGTTCATTTGCAGTAAATATATCTTAGATAAATAAAAATACTGCTTCATGATGCTTGGGAACACACGTGGTCTTTCATATTCTGGTTTGCATTGTGATTATTGCATTGTGAAATAAATGATTATTTCATCTCATCTAATCTTTCAGACCTCTAAAACTATTTAAAAGGTTGAAATGATGGTAGGATCTTGGGAAGAAATTGGGTTGAATTTTGGTCTATTACTTATTTGCAGTGTGGCAATTTCATACTTTCCTTGCTGCATTAGCTGTTTGGTTTTCTTTGGCTTCACTTCTGTGATCATCTTGCCAAATTCCAGCTGCTTTTACAATGATACTTAATTTTGGCCCACATCATGCAACAGATACAGGTAGTGCCTGAAAAGTAGTATTGAGCTTCTTGAAAGATTTAATTGAGTGTATCCAATGTCTATCATACTGGGATTTATTTTTTAAAAAAATTTAAGACAAGTCTGTCCTTAGGGATCCTGTAATAAATTGTTTGGAATTGTCTTCAAATGGAAAAGTATATCCCTTTTATTGTATTACTGGCTTCCATCATAGTTGCCATCAAACTGTAGCAGCATAAGTAGCAAGTTGGAGAGGTTGCCTATAAATCAATCAAAATAAAATTTGTCATTAGTAATCAAAGTCATTGTCTCCAGAGCCTCTTTCTTAAAGTTTGTATTGGTGCTTATGTTTGGGGTAGGGCTCCTATGTTCTGAGCTTCTCACAGTCTTTTTTTTTTCCTCCCTCCATAGGGTGTTCCTGTTATGGCAATAAGAAACAAAATGATTTCTGAAGGATTAAACCCAGATCTTCTTGAGTAAGTAGCAGTATCTGTTTTGCTTAAACATTATTTACATAGAACCTAAATGGAGCTGATATTTGCATATGTTTTCCCAATTCCCAAGATTTATCCTGAGATAATACAGTTCTCAGAAGAACAAAAGTTGTACATCTGGCCCAACTGGTTGAGAAATATTTTTTTTCAATTATGTGGAAATAGGCATAGTAGTTTGAATTTATGAAGTGTTCTTGGAATGCTCAGTGAGCCTGCCAACAGCTCTATGAAATCAACCAGTGTTACCTCCTTATTGCAGAATTGTGAAGTCAATTGAAAGTTGACCTAAACTAAGCAAGATGTGAACTTGGAACCTTCCAATTTGTTTACTTAAGCCATTTCACAATACCAGTTATCTAGCCTTCCTGGATTTTACATTCAGAGAAAAAAAACTTTTATATAATAGTTGCCTCCACTGTATCTCCATCTCTTTATGGCATACCTCTAGTACAGATGCTTTTTTTTGCCTAGCGAGCATTTTATTGATTAATTTCATATAGTTAATGATTGTAGGTAGGTGGTGACCTGCTTCACACAATATGCTGGACCATAATGTTATTTGTTTGGCTTTAATTAGGCTTGTTTTTTAAAATTTGTTACATACAGCAGCAGTCCCCAACTTTGTGGCTTGGTGGTCCAGCTGGGGGGGAGAGGGGAACTGTGCCAGCCAGTGTGCATGTTTGCGGAAGTTAAGCTGTGCGCAGGTTGAGCTGTGAGCATGCATACATGTGCTCTAGCCAGCCACTCACGTGGCCCAATTCCAAATAGGTCACAGCCTGTTAGTGGGTCACAGCTCAGGGGTTGGCGACCCCTGATGTATAGTATAATTACATTTATAATTACATTTATTATTATTACATGTATTATTATTACATTTATTACATTTCTTATTATTACATTTATGAACTAGATCACCTACAAGGTCCCTTCCAATGCTGTTAATCTGTTAAATATGACTTAATGTACTCTATGAGCCCAGCTGTATCCAATTTCTCAGGTCCAGAAGTCATTTTTGCATCTATATGAAGCCACTTTTTTAGGTTCTGAATGCCTGAAGACATAAAAGCTCACACTGTTGAGATATCTTGCCTTTGTGTTTCAGAACACCAGATGCTCCAGTGCCTGCATGGGGAGATGAGACAAATGCAGGCGAAAGTTCTGATAGTGAATCTTCATTTAGCGACTAATGGTGTTGCCCTTGGTGGGGAAATATTTAACTTTTCCTTAAAAGCACTGTCTAGTCTTTCTCAATGTTAAATGCAGATGTACAAACTTGTAACATGCTTTCCTGAATTTCTTGAGCCATATGAGGTATTGTCTAAAAGCAGCAGCTTTGCACAGTAATATATTCATTTTGTATAGAATTTAGACTAAAAGCCCAGTTCAGTAAAACTGACACATTATGTAATTACATTACCTTATATAAGATGTGGTGTCTTTGACTTAGGTAAATGTTGTCCTAAGAATATCCAGGGTGAAGCTGAAGATGGGACTGAACTCACATACACCCTCTTTCCATCTAAATTATGCCACCCTGCATAACTTTCAATAGTACATAATCTTGTAAATTACAAGGATTATTTTTATATCTATTCCTGGTAACCGTTCAGAATTCAGTGAATGCTGATCCGTGTCTCCATGTTGTAGGAGAATTCAAAGCACCATATTCTACCTTTGGAATAGATGCACAGATTTTGTTTATTCCATGATTTAAGAATTGAAAATAGGAGTGGCAGGAAGAAGGACTGAGGACAAAGGGGAATGATGTCTGTTTGAAATTAATGGGCATCATTTTGTTTGGGCAAACTACTGCCTCTCTTTTTTTTTTTCCCTTATAGTATCCAGTTACCATCTTTGCAAATATAACCTTTGGATAGTAGCCGATTGTATCACTATTATCCTGCCTGGCAAAGCATATGGGGTATTTCCTTGTTATAAAATTTTCTTCTTGAGAATTACAGTGAATTCAGTATATAGAAGATGTAAAATATATAAAAATGAATAAATTCTGAACACTGTTAGAAAGACATAATTTCCTAACTTTTCATGTGATAACAAAGTACTGATAAATTGAAGGGGAGTTATAACTAAACAACCCACAACATTACATTGTTTCAAAAGGCTGCCATTTACTCATCAATTTTTTTCCAAAATCCATTAGCCTTCTTATAGAGAAACTTAGTAATGAATGATTAGAAACATATCCTTCTAGATTTTTTAAAAAAAGAAAAAAAATTCTAGGCCCCTTCATGTATTAAACAATGCATATTTTTCAGAGTTTAGTCAATTTCATCAATAATATTAATTTCACTAAAGACCATAATAGATTTTAAGTATTCTGTAAGTGTGCATATATGAACTACATTTTCACAAAGTGTTAAGCCTGAATCTGACGGAATACCTTAAAATATAACAAGGAAATATTTGACACACCCCATCTCCATATTTTATTGGCTCTGCTTCTCCCAATAATAGAAAGTGTTTTCAGTACTATTAATTATCTCTGAGCTGGAAGTCCTAATTAGTCATTAAAAATATATTCTGGCATTTGAAATGTATTTACAGTTCCTAGTTTGTTTGAGAGTCTGGTTGAAATCTATCTTTATTATCACCCCTCCTAATGCATTTCTGGCTACTGAAGCATCTTCTGTGATCCAGAGAAACCAAAAACGAGCTAGTGTACTGTAACATGCATATAAAGAAAAATCCAAAATAATTTATGGTTTTTGCATTTATGTTCCTTTAATGGAACATTTAAAAACATTACATTACTATTGTTCCATTCCATCTGTCCCGACTGCTGTTAGCTGTGACTTTTCCACTTAAAGGAAAATAAACGTATTGAAGCAGCCCTCAGGCTGTCTTCCCACATCACCCGCCTGAGTTTGTTTGAGATCTACTAACACATCCTGTATATAACAGAAGCCAAGATGGCCATTATGTAGCAATATTAAAGTTCAAAAAATCTCTGAAGTATGGTCTTCTTGGTTAGCAGAACTGTAGTTATGGCTCTGAACTAGAATCTCTTGTTAAATAAGTTGGGACAAAGCATCCCAGACCATTTAGTGCAACCTGTTTCACAAAAGGTCAAGGCATCTTGTTTCAGGAAACAAATTTAGAAGTGTAGTATTTTGATTTGCTGCCTAATGAAATGCACATTATATCCTACAGCAACTGGAACTTGATTTTGTATTATTTGAAAATAAGCAAAAATTACATTTTGTACTTTAAAATAATGGTTCTATTGCTACATGTAGAATTTCTTTGGAAATAAGCAAATAACACTGGAAAAATCATAATTTAAATGCATAAATTGCATTGATATAGATTGTATTGCAAGAGGAAACAAATTGTTCTCCGATAGTTATCAAATTATTAAAATGTAACTTGTGTGTAATATAGTAATACATATGCTTCATTAATACATTAAATCAGTAGCAAAGCAGTAATTATGTTTAAAAGACAAGTAATTAAATTTTATTTTAATTAAATAATATTTATTTTATTAAAATTGTATTTATTTACAATTAAATTTTATTTTAAAAACACTTCAAGGCAAAAGCTTTTATTTGGCCTAAGTAAGAAACCTAAATTATTGAGCGAATAGCTACATTTGATTTACAGATTAATAAAAAATAAAGCTGTAATTATTTTCCCATCCAGTTTCACAAACTGCCTGAAAATCTATCTATAGACTCCCAAGTAAGAATCCCTGCTTTAGATCTATAGATCCCCAACCAACCTACAAAGGCCAAGTTCATATTATTCATTTTCTTACTAGATTATCCCATTTTGTACACACACAATCCATTGAATTGTATACTAACCAAATGGGACTGTCATGTGTTCATACAACTTGCTTAGTTTCTTTTTTTAAAAAAATCCATTTGCATTTTAGCAGACCTGGTTCATCCTGTATATTACAACCTACAGCCAAAAAAAACAAGTCTAGAGTACCGTATTTTTCGGACTAGAAGACGTACTTCCCCCCCCCCCAAAAAAAGTGGGTAGAAATGTCTGTGTCTTATAGAGTGAATATTGCAGTGGGGAGAGGGGTTGGTGCGGCTCTGGATTAGCTGTTCTAGGCGGCGGAGATCGCTGCCATCGCCATCTATTGCCGCCGCCCGTTCATGGCAATCGGCGGCGAACAGGCTGTGGGGAACGAGCCTCAGCGAACGGGCCACAGCGGTGGCGAACGGGCCACAGAGGCAGATTTTTTTTTTCTTGTTTTCCTCCTCTAAAGTTAATGTGTGTCTTATAGTCCAGAGCATTTTATAGTCTGAAAAATACGGTAATTCGTACTAAATCCAAGTTTTAAAAAAACCTTAGTTGGATATTGTAATGGTTTTCCTAACTGAAACTGGAAAAACTGATTATTATGAAGAGAAAAGTTTTCCTGCTGAAAAATAGCGTAAGAGTTCACTCTTATGCTATTTTTAGATAAGAAAACTCTTCTCTTTAGGTAATTGTACCAGGTTACTCCAGGTATTTAAAAAATGTGCTGGTAAATAAGTAACATTTTGCCTGACAAAAGGGCTAGTTGAGAATTAAAGCCATGGATAATCCATCATAATAATCTGGAGAAAGCCTGCTGTTATATTTTGTTTGCCTTTATACACAAAACAATGTTCATAAAGCAATTTCATGCCAGCAGTGAGGAAAATAAACTCCAGGTATCCTGGATTTCACTATCCCACTAGCTTTAAACATGCCAATCTTTGATTTCTTTTATTAAAAAATGGAGGTAGAATGGCCAAATGTATGTATTTATTTTTTTCGATTTTTATCCCACCATTTATTATTTTATAAGTACCGTAACTCAAGGCAGTGAACATATCTAATATTCTTTCCTCCTCCTCTTTTCCCCCACAACAACCCTGTTATGGTTTAGGCTGAGAGAGAGAGTGACTGGTCCAAGCTTTTCAGGAAAGCCCAAGACTGGCTTTCATGCCTAAAGCAGGACTAGAACTCACGGTCACCTGGTTTCTAGGCTAGCACCTTAACCAGTACACTACGAGTGGTCAAACTCGCCGAGTCATGTTGCCATCACGTGACATTTTGCGATCTTTTTCCCATTCACAGAGCTGGGGTAGGTGTGGCCTGCACGTGATGCATCCGGCCTGCGGGCCGCCAGTTTGATACCCCTGCACTACACCAAGCCAAACAAATGTGCAGAAGATCATTTTTTTTTATTGTATTTATTATCTATCAAATAGCCAAAGTTTTCTGGGATTGCTTAAAAACACTCTACTGCTATATATGTCATTTGTATAATTATAACATAATTGATATAAAGATTGCCTGAGCAGGATGAAACATTTCCCCAAAATTCAAGAACAAAGCATGAAGGACAATGTGAACAGAATTATCCACTTGAGAATTATCACATAATAAAGAGAGGAAATAGCCTTTCTGCCAGCTATTTAAGTAGAAATAAAAGTCCTGCATGCTATTGACCTCAAATATTTTTAGTACATTAATATACGTCATTGTTTTTGGTACTTTATAACAATTACATTGCACTGTTCTTACCTAATGGACTGGAATGACTTCAGAGCAAAAATATTACCAGATTAGCTATATCTTTCATTCAGGCTACAACAGGCCAAGATAAATTGAAAGTGGATTTTTTTTCCCCTTCCATTTTTTTTTCCTTTCAGCTAAATAAGTTCATTAGTTACAAATATATTGGGAAGTCATCAGATTGCCTAAACGGCTTAGCTCAGATTGGCACTGACTATTAGAATCTTTCATGGAACCTTTGAATTGTGCAATGAAAGATCAAATGGAATTTTTTTAAAAAAAATATAGCAGCATGAACTACTGAAAAAAGTTTTTCCCCATCTGTTGGAATGAGATTGAATGGATTTATACGAAGATTTAAAAATAAAAGATGTTAAGCATATTTCCCCCAAAATATCATTGATTACTTGACCTAGACTAGAATACGTGTGCAGCAATTGGCCCAATTTATAAAGAATATTTTATACTCTCATAAAATTTATGGGAACTTTAACTGTTCATCCCCGGCTCAAACTGATAAATTTAGCACTCATATAAAGCCAGAGATTCTTTATCATTTTAACATGGCATTTTTTAAGGAAAATTCAAAACATTTGAACACTTAACATTAAAAATATAGTACGAGAGGATTTTTTCTCAAGTTCAAATTTAAAAATATGAATGGTGAATTATATCCCCTTTTTTTTCTTTTTTGCAGTAATTCCTTTATAGAATGTGATAAATACAGCAAGAGTGCAATACTCACAGTTGAGAAATACTATGGATTTCTTTTATCAATAAAATTTGGTTGCAACCAAAATAATAAATCTGATATAGTAACCTGTAAGTATATAGCAGAGCTATGGTTGAAAATTTCACATGTAATTTTGGTGCCTGAAGAGTAAATCCAAGTGACTGGCCAACTAATCCATCCACATTGTACTTGATTAGATACTTATTTAGTTGTACATACATATATGCATACATTGTGAAAAGTGATTGACTTTGTAATAAATATTCATGGAAATGGAAATTGTGCTACATTCTTTGTGATACAATTGAGAAGGTTTTGATTGTCACTTATACAAGCACAGTTTGTTCAGGAAGGGGCTATCCTAGTACAGTGCTGTTTGGCTGTTTGTTCCTCAATTTCATTTTTGATAAACACAACAGCAGCACCTCAATAAATCAAAATGTGTCTGCTGACTTGGTCTGTTGTTTCATCCATATCTCAAAGATATTAAGAAGTGCTAATATTTGTAGAAAACGTCATTAGAATTACATCCGATTTGATAAAAACCTTGCTGAAGAATAAATGGTGTTGGTTATCACCTTTAAAGCGCTCCATGGCATAGAACCTAGTTATCTTCGAGACCGCCTGCTGCTACCGATGACCTCCCACCGACCTGTGCGCTCCCACAGAGAGGGCCTCCTCGGGGTGCCATCAGCCAAACAATGTAGGCTGGAGACCCCCAGGGGGAGGGCCTTCTCTGTGGGGGCACCTACCCTCTGGAATCAGCTGCCTCCAGAGATAAGGAGAATCCAAGACCTCGGTGCCTTCCGCCATCCCCTTAAAACCTTTTTCCAGCAAGCCGGGCTGGCCTAATACTTTTTAAAATGTTTTTAATTGTCTGTTATTATTTTTAATCATGGGGCCAAATTTATATATATCTTTTTAATTGTATTTTAATGTTTGTAGTTTATGTTTTTACTTGGTTGTTCACCGTCCTGAGTCCTCAGGGAGAAGGGCGGTATACAAATTTAAAAATAAATAAAATAAATAAATAAAAATGGAATTACGATTAGAGGGCCAAATATTACAAAAGAAAATCTTCAGCAAAACTTAGGAAAAGTCTCTTCATGTTTACAATGTAAGAAGAATAGCTGTTTTCTACCATTTGATGGCTTGGAAGCTTGGGAATGAAAAACCACAACTAGAAATCTACCATATTTTTCGGAGTATAAGACGCACCGGAGTATAAGACGCACCTACCTTTTTTGGTTGTTTTTTTTAAAAAAGGGTTTTTTATTTTTTAGACATACATACAAACAATGTATTTTCTTTGAACAGAGTATTTGGCTGGTTCACAAATTTAAACAGTGTTTAGTCATTTCAATTAAATTTACAATTTCCATATTTCCTTTTTGCCATATTTATTCCTCATCTATTTTTTTAAAAAAACCAATATTACCCTTCATTCTCATCTCTAATCTTAATCAAATTCAATTTTTCCCTTCTATTCTATATTATACCCCTTCCCATTGTCATCTATATTTATATCCATCCTCACATTGGTTAATTATGTAATATTACAATTGTTTAATACAAATTCAACATTTTAATATAAATCACTTAGTTATATAATTATCTTTTTTGTATATTAATCAATATGAACATGAATATTCCAATTATTTCCATGCAATCCAATTTCTTACAAATCAATTAATTATATTTACCAATAATAATAAACCAAATAATTTTCCCCATATATTCCTCCAAACCACAACTTAACCATTTCTGCTTTCAACACAATATACAATTAATAGTATCTCAATTATTACAAATTCCCTAGTTAAATAGAGCTTTCCCCTTATGTTACTCATTTTCACATCTTAAACTCTACCAATAACCCAAAGTTTTGCCCATATAGAAAAATATTCCAATTATTATTCATTTCATTTTTACAATCATGATTTCCCATTTATTTCTTACTACTATTCATATTTCAATTCTAAATATGTATAACATCTTTCTCTTTCATTTCTTTTTCTCCTTTCCCATTTTTATTTTTGCCTTTTTTTGTGTGTGTGTGTTTTAAAATCTTGAACTCCCCTCTTTTGCTCTAAATTTCCCATTGTTTGCACCTACCTTTTTTGGTGAGGAAAAAGAAAAAGAAATCTCTGCCTCATTTTGCCATGTTGGAGCAAAGAGCCTGCTTTACTTTCAGTTTCGTTTTTCAGCATAGCTAGGGGAAAAAAAATCTGCTGCAGTAAGAAGCAGAGCCCTGCAGCAGAACAGCTGAGAGCAAATCAGCTGAGAGTCGGGAGGCTGATCTAATCAACTTGTGCTAATTAACCTATGCTGAAGCTGAAAGCTGTTTGCTTGCAAGGAGGTAACTGCTGGAGGCACAGGCCAAAGGGTGGGAGCCAGTGGGTGGGCAGGGCTACATTCGGTGTATAAGACGCACCTAAATTTTTACCCCCTTTTGGGAGGTAAAAAGGTGCGTCTTATACTCCAAAAAATACAGTAGTTTATGGAAGTTTATTTTAAAAGATATGAGGAAGCAATGAACTTGCAAAGTACTGAACTACAATTGAGGGGTCCTTGGTGCTCCTAGTTGCCCTATGACAGTGATGGCTAACCTTTTTGCCGTCATGTGCCAAAAGTGGGAACCACGGGGTGTCATGCGTGTGTGTGCCCACACCCATAATTCAATGCGCCTTGCGCACACAACCTCTCCCCCCGCTTTTGGCACGTGATGGCATGGTGGGCCCGTTTTTCGCTCTCCAGAAACTCCAGAGGCTTTCTAGGAGCCTGAGGCGGGCAAAAACAGCCTCCCCCCCCCCCCCCCCGGAGGCCCTCCGGAGGCCGGAAACCGCCCGTTTCCTGACCCAGTGGGACCAGAAGGCCTGTTTTTCGCCCTCCCCAGCCTTCAGAGCCTTTCTAGAAGCCTGGGTAGGGCGAAAACGGCCTTCCCCACCCCCCCCGGAGGCCCTCTGGAGGCCAGAAACAGCCCATTTCCAACATCCGGTGGGCCCGGAAGGCTCAAAAATCAGCTGATCAGTGTGTGCATGCTTGCTGGAGCTGAGCTAGAGCAATGCTTGTGTGCCCACAAATATGGCTCCGTGTGCCACCTGTGGCACACGTGCCATAGGTTCGCCATCATGGCCCTATGATGTGAATTATGGGAAGTCATAGCTTGGTGATAGTTTGAGGGCCATAGAATCTCCATCCTGGATCAAGAGATTGATTTTAGGTAATGGTAATCATGGTAAATTAAATTTCATTTAAGCCTTCCCCCAACCCATCATTTTAAAACAAGGGTTGGATTATCTTAAAATTGCTGTATGCGTGTATGATTTTTGTTCTGCCACAATCTCATAACTCTTATTTACAATATCATAACGAAAACATAATTAAAACAACCTACAATCCCAAAACTGGGTGTGCAAAATGTGTGTTTTTAGAAATAATGGTAATTTAAAGAAATGATGTCTCATCACAGGTGAGAAACTAGTCAGAAACAGGAGTGCCAGTTAAGTCTAGAGTGCTCCCTTTTAATGGGTGTGATGTGTTATTCTTTGATGTGGTGAAAAAATGTCCCTCTGAAAAAATGTGGTAAGTTGAATCCTTACTGAGTTTGAATATCCTAAATTCAAACTTTGTTCCTGAAAAAGCCTCTCTCATATATGCCTCCTTATGCACTGATATAACAAGTGAAAATGAATCAGCCTTAGAGGATTGTGGATTCAGCCACCAGCTAATTTTCTGGTGAGGTAATTGCAGGTAGAAAACAATCTCTTGCTGAAATTCAGGTGATATCACACGTATGTTAGAGAACTGCTGTGAGAAAACATCTTCTCCCACTCCAGATTATTTTCACCCCTGTTCTCCAACATACTTTTTCAGGTTGAGAAGCACTGTATTAGAGATTTGCTTTCGCAACTGTCCTTTTTCTCCAGCAATTCCCTTATATCACTTCTTATGCAGTTGACTGGGTTTTATTATTCCCACAGCAGACTGGGTGGATTAACCCTGTGTGTCACTGGGTCAGCCTGGAGCTAAACTTAACCTTGCTGGAGTTAGTTGACTGGGTCAATTAACTGCTTTTTCATATTTATTTATTTATTTATTTTATTGAATTTATATACCGCCCTACTCCCGAAGGACTCCCAAAGGGCGGTGAACAGCCAAAAGATAAAATACATATAATACAAATGTTAAAAAATCATTAAAATACAATTAAATAATTTGGCCCAGAAAACAAAATTTAAAAACCCCAATTATAAGACAAATTTAAAATTTAAAAAATTTAAAAACAATTTAAAAAAGAAGTTAGGCCAGGCCGGCCTGCTGGAATATTCTCACCCTAACCCAATATTGGCCCAATTAAGCCTGCTGTTGCCAATATTATTGGGCTTCCCCACAACTGAAAATCTGGCCAATCTCTAAGGACTGAGATGTAGCAGTTGGGCCTGAGGAGTTGGTAAAAATATATGTTGGTAGAAGCTATACTGTATATATTAAGCCATGGTTAAGATAGGGATGTCCAACCAACAGCATAACAGCTAATACAGTATTCGGTTCAATTTCAAAAACAAACTGCAGGAGAAAGATTCAGCTACTATAGATAAATGTTCCTTTTTGCCATCAGGTGTTATCTATAGTGCCTTCCTGAACAAATTACACTGAGGAATATGGCCATCAACACAAACAAGTTAATCATCCCAGCTTTTGGGTTTTATAAAGCTTTTCTTATAGAGCAGAAACTGAGCAGCTAAGTCTCAAACTTTGGAAGAAGCTCATTTAGTTAGCCTAAGCCCTTTGTTCAAAAAGCTACATACATAATAAAGGTCAGTAAAGAAAGTTCACCTACCAATTTAGTATGATTGGATAAGAGCTCAGGTTTTTTTTCATATATATTAATATGTCAGATCCTTTGGGTTTTCAGACAATATTGCTCAGAAAAAAATCATTGAAACAGGAAGAGTTGCCGAAGCTATTGACTGTCTTTTCAATCTTCTCACCACTGCCAACCATTGATTTCAGGAATGTTGGAAAGAAATTTTCCAATGAAGTAATAGAAATTATTTGAGGACTCTGAACCAAAGTTATAACAATCTCAGGGAAAGGCTGGAATGTACTCCAGCTTATGAAGTAACAGCAACAATAGCAGCCGTCAACAACAATTAAAAGTTTGGTGCAATGGCAGGAATGCTAATTCCTGTTTTAATGCCAAAACTATTTTTTTTTAGTTTTTGATTGAGTTTTAATTTTTGACCTGTCTAAACCTATCACATTGAGTTTTTCACTTCAC